TATTACATAGATACGCAAATCAAAATCAAAATTCTCATTTAAGTTTTTGCACTTTTATGCGGCTCATAAAATGTGCACGCGTCTGTTTGTCAGATTCCCGGGCAGCCAAGCCCAAATATTTCATAACGCAGTTAATCCGCGCAATTAACTTGATTCATATACCATATATCTGGCCAAAAGAGAATAGCTGCCAATAAGCCAAATCAGCAAGAGAGAGGGAGAGCGAGAGCGAGAGAGAGCTGGACGGAACATGTGCCCATTCCCCGGCTATTTATAGGCGGAACTGAGTGCACGCCAGGCCAGAATGGAATGCATGTGTGTCGTGGGCATGCTCTACGGCCCGCTGGTCGTCTCCGCTGAATGCGATGAACACTTCACAAGTGGTGGCCCATTGGAAGATCTGTCGCGTCGCTCAGTTGTCGCTGGCTGGCGACAGTTGGCGAAAGCACTTTGGTAGTAGCAAAAGACGCGTTGATCCCGCCAGAGGCGGCGGCCGAAAAACAAATTCTGCTAAAGTTGATTGCCACTTGGCAGCCATAAAAATATCTATTTGTCTCGTTAAACAATATAAATATATATATATATATTCTCGAAGAGCAGCAACCGCAGAGGCTGAGGCAGCAGAGGGGTTCTTGTTGTTGTTGTTGTTTTGGCTCAGTGCCGTGCGTGTTGGACTATTTTTGGCCACGGGGCGCATTGCTGGCAACTGACAACGACGAACGCCGAGTGTCGGCATAATTAGTGTTTAGTAAAAATGAACAACTCGTTTACAAGTTGGAGGCGGCGCCAATAGGACTCATAAGACTTATGCAAACTGCTGCAGCAGTGGCTGTCGAACTGTAAATATCTAGCTGTGCGGCAACAACATGGACTGGTATCCAGAGGAGGATGAGGAGGACTTGATGTTTTCGCCGGCGCTATTGGCGCGTCGCGCCAGCGAGAGCTGGATTGTTGAGCCGCCCGTTGAGGTGGTGTTGCATGCATCCAGGCGGGCATCCAAAACTGTTGCATAACTAAAATTTCTATTCTCTCTCTCTTGCCCACAGACGGTGCCCATCAATGTGTCGCTGCAGCGCAAGAAGTCCATGCCCGATTTTCAGGAGCTGCCGCGCGCCACGGAGGCGATGAGTCGCGAGGAAGTCTCCGCCCTGGGTTCGGCCCGCCGCGAGGCCGTGCGTCGTCAAATCGAAGTCAACGAACGCCTCCGGGCGAATCCCTTGCTGTATTTGGTTAGTCCGCAAGTGAAGGTGAGTGTTCCGTTCGAGTGGGCTTTAGCTCAGCCTAGCCTAGCCGGGCACTAAATGCTACTTCGTTTATTTCTTGACAGGATTGGCTGGTGCGACGACAGCTGATGCTGCTCGTGCTGTTTGTCAATATGCTGCTGGCACTCCTATTTGTCAAGATGGTTACCTAGCGCCGGATGCGCCAGACCACACGGAATCGCAGCAAAACGACAACAACAGCCGCCGGCAGCAAGGCAATAAAACTTTCAAAGTTTTGGAATCATTGTGTCACATGCTGCTAAGCGTCAAGCAGTTTGCGAGTCATTGTTAAATGACTGTGGTGAATTTGAAGCCGCCAACACGCTGCCTTCGCAGTTTGAAGGCGGTTGGACGCTGTGTTTTGTGAATTTTGTGTGGTTGAGTTTTTTTGTGGGGCGAAGGCTAACAATTTGTAGCATTTGCACTAAACAGATTTATATATATTTATATATGCTAAAATATAAATATATATATTTATTAAAAATACTATATATGTATATCAATATGTATGATAAACAAAAATCGAATTAAACACTAGACTGCAGCCAAATTCAAAATGAAAACAAACTTAAATTAAAAACGCAGAACTGCAATACACAAATCGTAGGAATATTAATATTTAAACAATAAATGGCTGTGCAGCCATTGCATTAACCAAATTTGTCAAGCCATTTGCTAGCCAAACCAACAATTTGTATTTGTGGCTCTTAAAGATCAACATAAATAGTTAAACAAAAAGAAAAACTATACTAAAAACTATACGCAAATCAATTTAACGAATTTTTCTACACATTTAAATGTAAAAGTACTATTCTACATATATATAGACATATATGTATGTAAACAAAACCCATTTATCAATATTTAAACCGTGCATACGCGCAATTTCTCTTCATGATTTCATACACACACACACACACACACACACATATATATATATATATAAATATATTTAAATTATGGCTATAATATGAGAAGCAAATTTTAGACAAATGCAAAATACAAAACCAAGAAAAACCTTATCCTATTTGCAATTGAAATTAAATTTAGTCAGCAAGCTAATCAAAAGGCAACTACATAATACTTAAAAAAAAAAATAAAACAAAAAAATTGTAATAATTGTGAACACGTATATTTGTATAATTAGCAAAATTGTGTGGGACCCAAATCGACAACAACAGCAAGATTATAAAAACAAAAACACATCTTTTATAAATAAAATTAATTTTAAGCGCCGGCTACGCGCTTTGTTTTGGGCGAGAAACAAAAAAGAATTTTGAAAATCAACTTAAAGTACATAAACGTTAAAAAAATAAAAGCGAAATATTGAGATTGAGATTGTTGATGAATGAAGCTGTATATATAACTTATAAATTATTCATATAACTATAACATTTAATTTTTTCTCTCCATACAATTATGAACATATTTAATTTCATAGCTAAAATTATGCCATTTTTGAAATGTTTGCAATTTTACTGTTTTTAGTTCCATATAATTTCAAATATACTTTAATTATTATTTAATTTTTTAATTTGTTCTTTTTTATGCATATATTATTTAAAAAAAAATAAAAAACAAACGCACACGCATATGTGCGTAAAATTTATTTATTCTCTTGGCATTACTTCTCTGATTTTCCTTATCTAAAATAATTAATATTAAAAAAAAAAAAAAACTCTCAAGTGCAATTATATAAGCTGTAAAACTTTCTGCATTCTTCAGCTGCTAATGAATGTTCGGGATTGGCAAAATGTTTGAACTGCAAACAGATAAAAACCCTACAAATCGAAAGACTTGAAACTGAAAACTGTTGGCTGATGTTGATTTGAATGGAAATTTAATTTGTCACGCATAGCTTGATGCTAGCAGTCGGAAAATATAATGAAGATATAATATAATATATATATATATTGCATACATTGCACTAAACAAACAAAAATGAAGTAATTTATGTATATACATACGTATGCCTATATACTTATATCATATGTGCTAGCATAACCAAAGAAACAAGCTGGAAAATTATATATTATAATTAACGATCAAATCTTATTAAATGTTATCAACAAAACATATATCAAAGAGAATGCATAATAAAATGAACTTTTTCAAGACTATAATGAAAATCGAAAACATTATTTGAAATATAATAGACTTTGCTAGTTTTGCTGGGCAACCTATTTATTAATCTCAATACTACATTTGCTTAAATTAAAAATTAACTTCAATTTCTTCGTTGGAATGTTTGACATAGAAGTCATAGATGATTAAGATCACATTATTTGGTAACAACATCCTTCTTGTTTTGGACAGCCTTATTCTCAAGTAAATGGCTTCTAAAATAGATATTATAATTCAAGTTAGTTACCATGGAAAGGTTCCCCAAAACTCGATGAGCTTTATATCAAAAAAGTAAACAATTGTGTATACGAAATGCTTTATTATCAATTTTGTTTAATGTTTCTTTTAGCAAAGGTTTGGGAGTACATTTTTCGCGATATCTTGTTGATGTTTTGCATATTTTAGCCTTTTGCAACAATATGACACACTGCACATAATCATTTGACTCACATATGTATTGTATGTATAAAAGATTTAAGTAAGTAGCTAGCATATTGTACTATATAGAGCTATATAATATTTAAATCGAAGAAGTTGGCCATTTTTTTTTTCATTCAATAAACAAAACTAGTTTATATATTTATGTTTGCCGGTCTGGATGTATGCATGTGTATGTAGTATGTTAAAAACATGGGTCAACCTAATAACACCTTGCTTGCATTCAAAACAATCAAACGCACTTCAAAAACAAATAAAATATAATTACAACAATGAAACCCGTTCGACTGGTTTTAAGCGCAAGCAAGGCGAAAAATCGTGGTTTAAAAAAAATAAACTAAAAAAGCAAAACAAAAAAGACAAAGGTAACGCCCACTGTATGCTGCAGGACACCTCATAACGCGCCCGGCTTCAGGGAAAACGATAGCTTTGGTCTTGAATTATTTTTGCCCAATATGACCTTTTGCTCTTCCTTGACGCGTTTCTCCTGCTCTTTGCGCATACGTTGACGCTCCTCATCCATCAGACGCTGTTCCTCAATGATAGCTAAACGTTCTTCGGCCTGTTTAGATAGATTTAAGATTTCATTAAAGACAATAAAAGAATAATCGTAAGCTATTTTGTCTTACCAATTTTCTTTGCGCCTCTTCGATTTTGCGATTATTTTCGGCCAAAATTTCTTCGAGCTCTTCGCGTTTTTGCTTTTCCTCCTCCTATAAAACCCAAATAAAATGGCGTATTAATAATTCAGATTTAAGGCTTCACGAAATGCTTAAGTCTAGTTATATTTATAAAGAAACGGTTTCTTTAACATCGGTGACGCAAACTTTGCGGCGACTTTGGACGCGTTTTTATCAGCTTTTTTTGTTTTTTTTTTTTAATTTTCGATGGGCTGCATAAATATGTATTAAATATCTAATTTAATGTTTTACAATAAGTTACATAGAAGATATTGGTAGAAAGTAAAAAACATTTAGTAGTGTCTAAAAAAAAAAGTTTAAATAAGAGTTGGTATTTTTTGCGAATTTAATTTTTAACAATAAGAGCACACAACATTAACAAATGTACTTTAACTTGATTTTTTTTTTTAAATATGATATTCTTTTTTGTTTTTTATTTTTGATTTTTTTTTTTTTTTTTTTTATTTTGTTTTTGTTTTGTTTTGTTGCTACTTACTATTGAAATAGTTCATTTTTCCAGTTTAATGGCTAAATCATTTTGTTAATTTTTGGCTTTGCTGCGAATTTGCATTTTGATTTACGGTATTCAGCTACATAGTTGTTTAATCAGAATTACATTACATATTGTGTTTAGAAAACAAATAAAAAAGCGTTTCGATAAACGATAAATGTTTGAAGAACAAACATACATAAAATTAACATTTTGGCACGACAACAACAACAAGTACAGTCATACCCATTGACAAATGGTTTATCCGGCTTATGAGTTACGATAACAATCTTAAGTCTGATCAGCTTTGGTGTTCCTATGACGAATGTTCCTAGAGGGAGAGCTTAGAGTCCTTAGAGTCTATTTTTTTGATATTGTTTATGCTTTTCGTTGCATTTAAACAATTATTGTTCACACTTTAAGACACTTCAGTTCGTTAATCCATTTTGTTGTTTCACACGTTTCGTATGCTTAAGGAACTCACTCACCCGTTTATTGGTATGGATAGGCCCCCTTACGGGATCTTTTGAGGCTTTTGGCATGCTGCGTACAGTTGGAACTAAGCTAAGCTATGCTAAGCCCGCCCCAAAGCTTGGCCAATCTGTACTGGCTAACGGTACTAACTTTACGACTAGACAACTTTACGTACAGATATATGTACGTGATACGTATGTATGTGTGTGGTACATCTTGAATGTCTCCTAGAAAGCTGTTGCTCTCATCCGTGTGGCCGAATTCTCTTCAAAGCTGGGTCCGGCTTAGGTTCGGGTGTGGGGCGGGTCGACATATACAGTTATGTATATGTACAAATTTACATGTTTTTATTACGTTCTGCTTGTTTGTTGTGATTGTGGTTCCCTCGCACACGCGTCAAATACACACACACACACCTAAACACACGCGCGCACACCCACACACGCATTCGATAAAGAAGCATTATCGCGCATTATGTAAGAACAACAACAACGAGTTACAGAAACCAATCAAAATAAAATTGAACTGATAGATGAAGCTAATGCAAGTAATGCAAAAATAGAATTATGCACTTTTGAGACGTCAAAAACTGCAAGACACATTTTTTGGCTTTAGGGAAAAATTTCTTTTTTTTTTTTTGTAGAAAAAATAAATAATAATTACAAAAATTATTTGGCAAGAGGAAATAGGCGAACTGTGCAGCGACGTGGCCAGAGGCTCAGCGTGTTTGTGTATGGATGTGTGTTGCGGCTATGAACCGAAAAATTACCAGTTAGCAGACATGAGAGAAGGTTAGTAGTTAACAGTGCAATGTGGGTTAGCCATGTTCTTGATTCAAGTAGAATATGGAAGTTCACATAGAGTCAGCTTAAGGTTAGCCGAAGTTTCTTCAGTTTTATTGGTAATTTAGCATTCTATGAAGTAAATTCAATAGTCAAAATAGAGCAAGAACATGGCTGTGTTTTATGACGATTATTAAATGGAAATTAGTAAAACTCTTATACAAACACACACACACACACACACACCCAGGCACACTGATCCGTCAGAACCCGGCAATTGCAGTTGGTAATTGGAAACGTCGCTACACAATTTCGTATTGGGGTTTACAAGACGACTGTTTGCAACTGCTGTTTGTTTTGTACGTGTGCGTGTTTCGGTAGTAGTTGTCGGAGGCTGTATATTGTGCGTGTGGTAGTTTTGGTATTTGTGGTAGCAGCAGTCGTCCAGCGAAATCTGAATACGAGCACCTACCTCGCGACGGCGTTCTTCTTCGCGTATCTGTTCGCGCCGCCTCTCCAGCTCCAGCATCATATCACGTTCCATTTCCGCTTTGGCAGTGTCGACTCGTCGGTTCACCTCCTGTTCGATTTCATCGCGTCGCTTCTCGAGCTCCTCCTCGACACGCTTCTTAACTAGCATTTCGATTCGTTTGGCCGCCTGTTCTTCGATTGTTTTCTGCTCGGCTTCTTTTTGCCGCCGCTGCCGTTCCATTTCGGCCAGTCGTTCCACCTGCAGTAAATTTTGCTGCAAGTAAATTAGTTTAGTACGCAAACCGAAGTAATAAGCTAGTCAGAAAGTCGTTTACTTCATCCAGTTTCTTAAAGCGGCTGCGCTTGTGTCGGCTGCGTTGCGTCTCATGATCCGAGTACTGTTGGCTATCACTACTTGATGAGGTGGAGCGTTTGCGGGACTTTGAGTGCGAGTGCCGGTGATAGTCTCGCTCTGTGTGTGTGTGCAGGTGCGTGTGCGTGTGCCTGTCGCTGCGGTGCCTATCGCGCTCTCGCCGGCCGTGTTGGTTAATCTCTGTTGATTTGTCTCTATCCGTGCGACTGCTGCGTGTGCAGCTGCTGCGCTCGTGGTCCCGATCCCTGTCGCGGTTGTGTGACTTACTTTTGCTGCGTTTCTTGTGTTTGCTCTTGTGATGACGACGTTTCACCGAGGGACTGCGCGAACGTGAACCCATTATTGTAAATATATATACTATATGCTATATATATTTATTGAATCAACAAAACAATAGCCCTTTTTTTAAGTAAATTTATTGAATGCTTTGCTCAGTTTCTCACAACAAAATCAATCTACAGATGCCTTAAAAATAGTGTTGCATATCGTTAAAATGCCGTACTTTATCGACACCGCTTGCAGCACTGAAATTGTGGTATTTTTATGGACATCCGCAGCCGGTCCGATTCTTATCCATATTCAGTATAATTTCATGAAACTTGTCTATCATCACTTGGTTGTCCTTAAAGCCAACGATTTCCTTTGCCGCTTCTTTGGGCAGCCATTTTAGTTCCGTGTGCTCCTCGGAGAGAACGGCCTCTTGGTTTGGATTTCGAAGCTCTGCTAGCCAGTAGATAACAACCTTGGGCTTACCTTTGACCTCATAATTAAGTGTAAGAGGCTTATCACGATAGATAATCAAATCTTTTTCATCGTAGCTTTATAAACAAAAATAGTTATTATTGTGTTCATTTTTGTACTCTTGAGTACCTACCCGGCTTCTTCCTTTGTTTCCCGCAAGGCTGTAGTGAAGTCATCTTCGCCTGGATCCACGTGTCCCTTTGGCGCGCTCCAGTGGAAATCACCATATGAAGCTCTTAAGAGTAAATATTGAATTTCTCCACATAAGCGCCGAAAAAGGACAAATCCAGCAGCTCTCTTGCCCATTATTCTCGTAACCAATTAATAACTGAGTAGTGTTGCAGAGCGAGTGAAAATAACGTTCGGGAGTTACCTTCTTGGTATAAATTTGTTTCATATTTTCAGATGGTAAAAATTAATAAACAAAATCAAATAATATTTATGCTTTAAATTATAAATGTAAGATAAGGCTTTACCATTGCCATTTCCCTGACCAACAGACTAATTAGCATAAAATGTACCAAAAAATGAATTTAAGCCAATTTATTTGCACGGCTAACAACACTGGTTGACTATTTTACACTAGACTTGCTGCGCACGTTGTCTTTATTAAATAAGTTACATAAAAATATCAAAATTGTAAAAGAAATGTTTGCACTTCTGCGCCGTTTTGCGTGCGCATCCATCACAAACAGCAACAGGGCAAGTCTGGTGCGCTGTTATGCCTCCTTCACGCCAAGGGATGTGCTGCGCGAGACATCGGATGAGGCCGGTACGCTGCTCAGCCGCTTTGCCAAGCACATAGCCATAGAGCGCTACAAGTGTGAGGAGCACGTGCTGCCACCTACGGAGATACGCTACTCCGACTATTTTCCCATAACGGACGAACGATACTTTAAGCGCTCTGTAGAGAAGACGCCGGCCTCGCAGTTGCCAGCATTGATTATACACACCTCCAGCTATCGGCCCAATGCAGCGGCGCCTATGTATGCCATGGCATTAAACACGCTGGATGCGCATGCGGCAGCAATGCTAAAGCAGATGGACACAACTACTATGCTGGAGACACTCTACGCATTTTTGTTCCTCATGCCAAATTGGCTAAAGCGCACGGACTTCTATCACGCGGCCATGCGACGTCTTTCAGGGGAAGTGCCTAGCAGCAGAGAGCGGTTTATGCAAATCTGTTTCTACCTGGGCCTTCAGAAGCAGCAGCAGCAGAACGATTTGGAGACGCTGATCGCCACACAGCTCGGTGATCATTTACCCACCTTGAGCCCTCTGGATCTGGCCCTGATCAGCAATGCTGCCTACAAGACGTCTACGTTAGTGACAGGCGCCGTGCGTGAGGCTTATGAGGCCACCCTGGTGAATGCAATTTTGAATCTACGGTTTGGTCCGGACAACGCCGCAGATGATGCGCTGCTTATTTGCTACATCAAGGCATTGCGGCTCCAGCGGGTGCAGGATGAACGCATCTGTCAGCACCTGCAGGGCATCTGTTTGGAGCCTGCGCAGCTATTGAAACTGCAGCCACGGGGCTTAGCCCATATATTCGCGTACTTTGCCGAGATGCAATGGGATCAAGCGGAATGCATGCACGCACTTGTTGAACGTTTATTGCAGTTCAAGCCCAGTGAGCTGCGTGCCAAGGACTTGGCCACATTCCTGTGGAGCTGTGCACAGCTTAATTGCCCGTTGACTACCGCACAGCTTAGGCAACTGGAGGTGATTGCCTTGCGCAAACTAGATCAAGGCGAATATGATTACTTTGCCGACCAATTGGTTGACACTTGCCTCTCCCTGTGCATCATGGGCCATCACTCAAAGGTGCTCTTTGATGCGGCAGAGGAACTAAAGGCCATACAACGCCAACGTCAGCGAGCACAACCCAAAGTAGACAGCCGCTTGACTGTACTGCGATCCGCTGTGGCCATCGAGCAGCCCAGCTGGACGGATGTCAAAAGGGAGCAGGTCTTTAAGGAGCTAGCGCGTGCGCCGGGCTATTTGCTAAAGCAGCGCGACGATCTAACAGCTTATGCCAAGCAGCTGGCTGCAGATGCCGAAGTGGAAGGTGTCGACCTGGTCTGCCCCATTGCTGGCATCAATTTGCCCAGCTTGCGTGTCCAGACACTTGGCGAGCAGTCATGTATTTATTACATAGAGCTGCTTACGCCGCAACAGACGCTGAGATTCAGTCGAACGGCGACTTCTTTGTTAAGGTTAAAAAGAAGACTCTTGGAATCGCTGGGCCAGCGCGTTGTACTCGTGAGTATTGAATTTAAAGCTAGAGTTTTTAAAACCAACTAACGTATTCCAAACCTTGCAGCTTCATTCTGGTGACATGGCGTCCAATGCGCAGGCGCTGCATCATCTTTTGGAGCAAACAACAGTCGCCAAGAACGAGGCTGACCAGGCAGTGCATGGCCTCAACAATTGAAACGTGTGATATAGAGTCTACATGAATAGCTTTAATTAACAAGTTTTTAATGTAATTAATTTAGTAAAAATAACACTAAACGTAATGTTCAACATTTTATGTATAATACAAGGGGGCAAGTTTAATCCTCGGAAAATCAACGCTCATCTGATCGACTTGATCTTTGCTTTAAGCACAATATAGGCACCCAGCCGGAAAAGAAACATCATAGCGCACAGTGCTATTATATCTGTCCAGAACTTATCGCCAGACATAGTAATCTCCTCCAGAAACTTCTTTGGATATCTGCAAATCAAAAGATTATCAATAAATCCGTTTTAAGATTCATCAATTCAGCCAATTACCTATAGTGGCAGTAGGGCGCCTCGTTGCACTCCAGAACGCCACGGTCCAGTCCATAGATGGCAGCTATGAAGCCCTCAAGGCCATAGCGCAAATGGGATATGTTACTGCCCCACTTTAGGTAACTGGGCAGATCGCGCAGTGTGACGCCAAAGCCGGCAAACATCATCATGGGTATAGTCAGCACTGGAGCCAGGAAAGTGCCATTGACCACATCGAACCAGGCTCCAATCATAAGGCCAATGCTTTGGCCCACAAACACAATTAACAAACTGATAGAGAAGAACATCCAGAAGCGTACCCATTCCAAGGGCTGATAGCTCCACAAATAAATAATCACCGAAAACAGGAAAGTACTGACAAACTGCAAGTCAAATGAAATTGTTTTTTAATGCAGTTTTTGCTTAAATTAGGTGTGGAACCTACCGTTATAGGCAGGTCAACAAGCGTCATGGCAAAGTAGTACGCCTTGAGTGAGTACCAGCGATTAAAGTGCTCCTTGATTAAAATCGTCATCTCAATGGGAACTAAAATGAAAGGCGATAAATATATGATATTAAGGGGCATTCATATATATTAGGAAATATATAATATATTAATAAGAAATTCTTTGATTTATTAAGAAGAGTACCCCATATCTTTTTGTGGATATGACAGAGAGCAATTCAGACTTGGTATAAGATTAAGACTTAGTCCAGCGCTCTAACTTGTCTTGACTACGAATCATTTCTAAGGACTTCAGAACAAGCTGACTTGGAGCCTCACATATGCAAAAGCATATCAGCTAGCTGTCAAATGGCACTTACATGTCAGGACCGTCAACATCATGGTGGTCATCGAATGATGCATCAATATGGCAAACAGTAGATTGTAGTTGTCCAAAACTCGTGAGCCCTCTCTGCCCGCACGATCGTACATGGCGCCGTAGAGTACGGCCACAGCGATGTTGACTCCAATGCGAAGATGTGTCATTGTCGTATCTCGACGTGCCTTGATATAACCGCGTCGCAGCAGCACAGAGCACTGATTCGTAAAGCTGGTGTTCTCGAGGGAAACATTTTTGGAGCGCTTGGGTATGGGATACTTGTGGATGAGCGCCTCGGAGCGCAGCACGGCGCCCGGATTGTTGAACCAGGTCAGACAGCTGCCGTTCTCCGTGGCACTCTTGAGCGTATCGATCTTGTCGAAGCCGTACTCGCCGCAGGCCAGCTCAATAACTATTGAAAGTAGGGAAGGTAAATTGTTACCTTTAATAGGAGTTAGTCTTATGCGGCACTCACTGTAATCAGCTGGATTGTGGTACATGGGGCATGGCAGGTCCACCGATTGCAGGAATGGCACCAGCTTCTGGGTGCCGCCTTGGTAGACGCAGTTGCCCGCGGAGAGCACATATACCTGATCGAATATTTGGAATAACTTGGCAGTGGGCTGATGTATGGTACAAATGATGGTGCGACCCTGGGTTGTCAGTCGCTTTAACAACTCCAAGACTTTGGTGCAGGAACTGCTGTCCAAGCCGCTGTAAGGAGAAGAGATTAAAATGGGCTCCTCAGCTTCAAGAGGCTTAAACACTTACGTCGTCGGCTCGTCCAGAAACATCACAGTGGGATTATTAATCAACTCCATTGCAATGGATAGCCTCTTCTTCTGACCACCGGACAGGCGCATGGTCAGCGTCTGGTCGTGATCATAAAGACCGAGCAGCAACAGAATATCTTCAATCTAGGATAAGCATGCCGATCTTAGACGTAACTCTCATGGAAATACTTTGCCTGTAAACTCACTCTGCTTTCCTTCTCTTCGTAGCTGACATTCTCACCCAACTTGAGGTCGGCGGCTATGTGCATGTTCTCGCTAACCGTCAGCAAAGGTTGCAGTCGATCATCCTGTGTGATGTAGCAGGACATGCGTCGAAATGAGGCTGCATCGAAAATGCTTTCAATGAGGGATAATTCTTTTAGCTTAATATGTGCTACTCACGCAAATCGCGTCGTCGTCCATTGAGTCGTATGGAGCCATCCACGCCTGTCGTCTTGAAGCCGGATAAAGCGTCGAGCAATGTGGATTTGCCAGCTCCAGATGGTCCCATTATGGCAATCAGCTGGCTTCCCGGAAACTTGCCGCACACATTATGCAAGATCTCCTTTTCACCTGTTGGCAACAATTTTTGATAAATTTGGAATCATTTCATAACTAATCTTATGGTACAGATATCAATGTGCCTTGGTCAACGAACCGTCCAAACCGTAAAAAACTAGGAAGCTGATTTTACCGTAGTTACCTTATGTGAGAAAACTTATTTGCTTCCCATCCGATAGGCATCGAGCTTATGCTCAAAGATCTTTGTTCTAATTCACTTGAGTGGTGTTTCACACTTTTCGGATAATCAACAATTCCTTGGAGGAAATGGGGCTCAAGGACCAAGTCATAAAGGCAACTGGAGACGACGGTTCTGGTTCGAATCTTAAGCAAGCGTATGGGTATATTGTACTGTCTTAGCCGGATGCAAAAATGAATATTCATAAAACTAATAAACTATTTTCAAAATGTTTGAGGATCTAGGCTAAATACGCCTAATAACATATTAAAACTCACAGTTAATGCAATCATTAAGTCATATTAAAAGTCACAGTTAATGCATTCATTAAGTCGAACCACTTATTTGACAAACAATTAGATGGTGATTAAATTAATTGGAATCTTGACTTTAAATAGTCTGCTTGACTATTTTAATGGCCAATTTATATACTAGAACTAACTTATAAAACAATTAAAATTGTCGTTATTGCTGGGTTTGATTAAATGCAAAATCGCGACTTCGGACGATCCGACCAATGCCAGCATACTCTCTGCATTGAAGTCAATTTTTTATATTTAAAAGTTTTAGTTAGGACAACTTAATTAAATACTTTTGCAAATCGAAGGCCATCCACATTTCTAAAAGGCTTTCATTCTTTTACAAAAGATATTCGCGGGAAATTCTTGCATTCTCAACTATTCATTTTGGTATGTTTATTATTGAAAAGGGGTCAAAAAATTATTCACATCTATAAAGTTAAATTTGTTTTTTGCTATGGCGGAAAAAAAAACCCGAAACAATTACGCGAACGCATCATAATCATACTATAATCAAGTTACCAGGGACAAATTACCTTCGATATAAAAGTGAACGATTTCTACTTTCTTGGACTTTGATATTAAATAGCTTCGCTAGCGTATTGACAAAAAAAAGAAAACGTTCGCAAAAATGCGATAATGATATCTTAACTAAAACGAATGCCAAATGCCCTCTAAATGCGGCGACTAAGAGCAGCACGGAGAGCTAATTATAAAATGAAAATATATAGCTCACTCTATAGATACGAGCAATGAAATTATTATTATTATATCATTATCATTATTATTACTACTACTAAATAACAAATATTATAAATAATATTATTATTCGTTTCGTTGTAACATATTTATTTTCGAACTGATATGCTCTGCTCTCTTGGCAACTTTTGACAAATTGATATTAAGGCAGTGGCAGGGGCAGGGGCAAGGGCGTCTTATCTAATCAATATGGGAAACAAAGAGCTGTTAAAAACCAGCTAACTGGTAGTTACTCGCATGTTTATAAAGCCTTCAAGAGACATGTGCCTAGGTAAGTCTGCTTGTTCCAGCTGCTTCGATGCGAGCATTATATTGATCAAAAAGTAGCCGCTGCTTCGCTAAGATTCATAAAACTTAAGGCCTTTTTATTTTGGCAATCTTATCGGGGCATGTTTGCACTTATATGGCCGAGTACATATCGAAGCAGCCGCAGCTGATCGTAAAAGTCTTACTCACCTCGATTGAAGCCCAATTTGACGGTCAGCGACAGCTCCTTGAACTCAATGTCCACGGGCTCGCGTGCCGGCAAATTGGACAACGCGTCCGTATTAAAATGTACGTCCTCCTCGCCCTCAGCCTCGGCCACTGGCTCCAACGCCGCCTGCGGCTTGGCGGCGGCCACAACTGGAGCGGCAGTGGGCGTGCTGCTGGTCTGTCCGTTCCGCCAGCTGTTGGCGCTCGTCATGGGCACTGTGGTGGCATTATAGACACCGCGTCCCGCCTTTGATGTGCTGCTCTCGCCAATCTCAATGCCCAGTCCGATGCCGGCGGTGCCGCCATCGTTGAAAAACTGCTCCCGCGCCGATAGCATTATTTTCGATCAGCTATAAAGAATTGAATGACATTTTTGCGGATCAATTACGTGAAAGGAAAGCGAATTTTTTCAGTCTGTCTTAATTTTAAATATAAGCTGATATTATTCATGTTATATAAGCTAAAAGTAACTCTTCTATAAAGACCATATATATATCTCTCTGTCATAAACTTTCAAAATGTGTAAAAATGCATTCAATGATTAATTACCAGTTGCCAGTTATGAATAGTTATAAATATGGCTAAGTAATTGAAATAGTGGGGAAAACTTGGACCTAGATTTGCCGTATAGGTTTTTTATTTCGAAATTATGGCATGTTTCAGGGTTCTATTCGACGGTGTTTTCGACAACTGATTCATATTTAAGGTTTAGTTCATTGTGCAAATAACACAATTACTTAAATATTTAGGTCAAGCTGTAAACTAAATTAGTAAATCAGTTTTCAAAATAATAAAACTGCTTTATGAAGTATTTCATAAGCATTCAATTGATGCATAATCAATTATGTATGGTAGAAAGCACACTTTTTCTAAGTTCAAATTTCTTTAGAGTATTTACATTTTTTATGATTTATTTTAATCTTCCATTAAACTTTGCATGGTGTGCAGCAGTGGAGCACTTAGCACAAGTAACTTTAACATAATGCTGGGATTTTATCAAATATTAGAGCTATTTTATTTTTTGTCTTCATATGAAAGTCGTATCGCACTATCGCACCAAGATGCAATGTGTTTAGTTCGTACGACGCTTGATTGATTTTAGAATGATGCAACGGGCGTCATGCATCAGGGAATTGTGCCACATTTTATTGGGGCAAGCAGCTAGCAGCTGCAAATGAAATTGCCAACTTGGCCAAACGGGTTTGACTGCGTGCCATAGTGCACTTTGATCGAACTGCGACGATGAGCATGGCTCCAACACGTGTGTCCAGCATTGTGAATGACTACTGTAGCTCGCTTACCTTTGCACCTGTTAATTGTCAATTTGGCGAAGCGTGCCACCCACTGCAGGTGTCCCGGAGCTTGAGCTGGAGCAAAAGCCACAGCGAAAGGGGTTTATGTTTATATTTAAATATTTAGTCGCGTATTTGTTTTTGTCACTTAAATACGCAAATGCCGATTGCAGTTGACGTCAAAATTATTCATAATATTTATTTGTTGTTTGTCAAGCTAACAAATCAAAGTGCAACCACAACTGTCACATGAAATTGAATTACTAAAGTTAAAAATCACTTATATTTGAATTAAGTTAATATGCTTATCTATTACACAAACATTTGCCAGAGGGTGTGTTCATGTACCCTACTACAACTATTTTTACACACCTTACTTTAAATGACTCTTAAGCCTGGCCTTCAAATATTTTATTTCAACTGAACTTTAAACTGGATAAGTTGATAGGAAATATTTAAAAATAGTTCTCTAAAGTTGAAATATTCTCCAATTTCAATACGTAAATATAATTTATTGACTAATTTAATAGTTCTATTAGGAACCAAAGTTCAAACCCAAGCCTGGGGTCATTGCTTTGAGCCGGGCTTTATATAATGAACTAACATATATCATATTAACAGCTACAACTGGTTGCTTTTTGAGTCTATAATTTCGTGCTAACTGTTTAAATGCACGTCGGATTTGAGTACATAAGAAATTGCAATTATCTGAAACAACCTCAATAAAATATTTAATATTTATATAAGTAATTGCAGCGCGCATTTTACTCCACTTTTCAGCACTTCTATATGTATACATACAAATATATAATTATTATTATTTTTTTTTTGTTATTAACAAACAGCTTCATTCAAATGTATATTAATTAAATAGAAAATATATTCCGTAAGATCAAGGTACAGCTGACAGAAGCAAAGCACAATTCATAGCAATAAGTATGCAGAATTGTAATTGTAGAAAAATCGTTCTGTGCCTATGTATAGTATAGTACAGGCACACGCATATATATATTTGTACACATATTTAAATATGTAATGGCATTAATCAAAACAACAAAAGCATTGTTTCAGTGCACACATTAATAAATGCTTATTGTAGGTTTGTAAATATATATGTATAAAATAAACACAAGAAATGCAATCGTCGTCGCCTTGTGACGAAGTATTTGCAATGTGTCATCTTTAACCCGCAGTCGGACACCTTATCTGCGCATCATCTGTCTCTCCATTTGAATGCGTTACATGTAAATCATGTAAATTTCATCTCACATATGGAAGGTGTCAAGTCGATAGCTCGCAGGGAAGAGGCACAGGAGCCTATCTATCATCCATCAGGTCTATTTACCTATCACTAATGGGCATTGCACTTGAACTACTTTCAGCGAAAACAGTTTCACAGCCGGTGTCAATGCCCTTTCTATACACATATATATATATATATATAGTATAGCTTACTGAAGGGCTAGACTAAAACTACGCCATTTGTGTGTGACGTGCAGGTTGAGTCTTTATCAGCAAAATTTCAATATTGATTGACACTTGTTGTCTTCTGTTTGCAGTTGTCTCTTATTGTTTGCATGCAAAAATTTTCGAAATCCGAAAATCTTTCATTTGTTGTCGTAATAGTTCGGTAATCCAGAGAGAGAAAAAACCTGTCTCAGAGTCACGCATATCGGCACAGTTTGCTTCGCAAAAATGTCGTGATTCAAACTTTGTCATTTATTTATGCTAAAGTATCAATAAAAATATATATATGTATGTATATTTGTTAAGGCAAAGTTTTGTTTTTGGAGTCTTTCGGAAAATATGCTCAAATATTATGAATTGTTATACACACATTGCACATGTGCTCTATGTACGTGCCATGTATCTGATTATGATGTTGTATGTATTGGCTAGTATTCTTTGCTCGCAAGGAAACCGGTTCAGAGAGTCCACGGCGCAGTTCTAGAGCAGGAGCATCATCTGCCAAGCCCGAAGCTCAGCACTTTTTGAGAGCAACAGAATCAAGAGCAGAACGACAGCTGCTTCCGTTTGGGAATCAGAATCAGAGCAAACCACGAAGCATTGATCAAATCTTGAATCTTAATTTGTTTTACATTCTTAAATATGCTTAACAATGTGATCATTTAATAATGGTAGCTGCTCTAAAAATGCAAATATTTTAAAAAATTGCTGAAAGGTTAATATACTCTTGGCAATGTGTAATCGAAACTAATCTTTGTGTTACGCCTTGACAGTTAATTATTGATTGAATTGTTCAGAATGAATTGGTTGTTATACCGAGCAAGAAGATCTTTGAGATAGATTATTTACAGAAAGACTCAATGTCTAGAATAAATGCAGAAGCTGGCCCATAAATATGCATAATCGAATTCGGTGATCATTATTGCAATAATTATAAACTGTTTACAAGACACTTTTTTAATCATCTAGTTACACTTTATTTTTGCGAACTATGCAGAAAGATAACTAGCTACAATGTAGAAATATTTATATAAATATATGCTTATATATAAATATATATGTTAAGATTTTAATTTTTCCACAATTCCAAATAAAATAATATAGTTATTTATTCATTTTTAATGAATTTATTTACTTTGTTTTGCTATTTAATTTTATAATAATTTAAATTTTGTTCATTTTGCTTTGCATCAGCTTTAAAGTTTTTTATAATTATTGTATTTTATTAGTTTTTTTTATTTATTACATTCTTTTTAATGATCTTTTTTTTTGTATTTTGCCAAAACACAAACGAGTCTACTTCGGTTTCACTATTCATTCCTAATTAAAATTAGATCCACATACGCGTCAGAACAATTAAATTGTTTGATTTTTGGGTTTCTTCGTCATATAATACTACTTATTTGGCGTTGTTTTGCCGTAAGGCTTCACTTTAATTAATTTTTTTGCACACAGAGTTTTAGTTCCTGGTCTTGTGTTAATTTGTAGATACAAGAGTTTCGTCATTTGCCTTACCCGTGCTTGAACGATCGCAATTAATAAATGATATTTTGCACGTCGCTGGGTATATGATATTTACGGTCTTTATATTAATTTTTCGCGCTCTATGCAAACCGCGTAACAACGTCTTCGATGTGACATCGGCGACTGGCGGCCAGCAAACAAATAATAATCCCAGCTAGCGCTGGCGATTCCCTCAGAAATCCAGTAGAGTCAGCCCCAGCCGGTTGGCGAGGCCGACACCGAGACAGAGACCGAGTCCGAGACCGAGACCGAGACGAAGACGGAGACGCAGACTGAGACTCATACAAAGACACGATCGAGCGACTCAGCTGTTGTGCGCGGGTGTGTGTGTGTGTGTGAGTGTGAGTATCTATGTGCACGTGCGTGTGTATCTGTGTGCAATGCAAGCTTTATCACAACGCTAAAACGAAGTCCGTTCGGCTCTTGGCTTTTATTAACGTACTTTTTGTTCACATCGGCTATTAATGTTTCACCGCTGTTATATTGTAGTTTTCCTTCATTGATAACAGCTCACACCTACAGCTACGAACACCTTTCAGCTTACCTGAGGCAGCTGATTGACTTTTTGGTAGTTGGCGCGATCGCTCGATCGCTTGGCAACGCCTGGGCTCGCTCTCGGGTCAGAAGTCCACATATCGAATTTATTTCTTTTAGTTCTCGTACGTAACACTACGTAATAAAATGTTGTTGCCTTTGTTGCCATATTCTTCATTTGGCTTTTTGTTGGCCCAAACTTAAACAACGCAACGCTCTATGCGAACGATATTATCGTTCAGTTTCACAATGCGAAGTCGGTCGCTTTGCGTTTTAACGTCTTTTTGTGCTCTTTCATGAATCACGTTCATTTCATTATTAACTCTAGTATATAAGAAATTATATATATATTATTGCAAGACTCTTTCTTCCTAGAGTTATAATATTAAGTAAAATTGTTTTGTTGCTTATAAAGTTATCCCTCTTTGGGGTATTTCTGCCAAAGAACTCTTATTTAGAAATCTATGTTTCTTATGTTTTTTTTTTTTGCTTATCAATGTAGCCATGGTATGATTAAATCGATTTATATGTAAGGCATGTATACTAACCATATATGAATAGAAAAATTCTTATCAGAAATTGTCAACAGGAAGCTATGAAATAATTGTCATATCAGTATACTATCTACTCATTTTTAAATTGATTCGAATATTTTACAGATAGAAATGCTTGCAAATTGAATAACACAAAGTTCAAGCTAATATACGTGTTACAGGTAGCTTGAATGTTTTACACTCATATATATCAAGCTGGTATTTTGTCATGATATTTTCAACGTTTCGTCCCAAAGTCTAAATAGATCTTTAAGAGTAAAATTTCCTATCAATATTAAACTTATAACTTATAATATAATATAAAAGTGTTTTTTCTTTCTAAGTTCAAATGCAAAGTGTATAGAAATTTTAAAATATATATATTAGAGGTCCCAGGTCTTAGGTATTATATCATAACGTTGATTTCTTGCGAGAGTAGAAATACAGTATCTTAAAGTACTTTCACCATTTCCCACATCCACAACCCTCAATACTTGAGAATACGACAAATGTGACTCATATCAAATGCTAAGCATTGCTTAGATTGTTTAAGAATAATGGTTGTGTACTTATTTATTATCGTAATTGTTGTGGTACATACACATAGTATGTGTGTGTGTGTGTGTTCAGTTTTAGACTTTGGACTGTATTTAATTTTACTGTGAATCGTGCTGAACAAAATCTAATTGAAACTTATTATAGTTTTGTAATAGAATAAAGAGAATAAATAAAATACAATTTAATTGTAATTAAGAGCTGACTGTTGAGCGCCGGTTCCCGCGAGTCTGGAGCGCTGATTAGCTGGGCAATGAGCACCCGTTTGTGGATCGTGGGTATTCAGGAGAAGGAGGCTTGACTTTGGATACTCAATGTGTTAATCAAATGCGTTGAACTCGATTTGTTTCACAATGCGAGAAGTGAAATGCTATAAATAAAAATTTACATAGGTGTCTCTTGATAAGCTACAATATCGACTAAAACACGAACTGCACATGAATTAATAAGATTAAAATATGCGACAATAAATATCACTCCATTACCACGAAATTCTAGGCAAATACTTAGTTCTTCAAGGCCCGAACTGAAAAATATTGACAACTGGCCTTCGTGTCCAGCTTACATTCTCTGCGATGTCGTCCAAAACCAAAGTCCAAATGCTTGCGGCATCTTTTGATTCCAGTTGAACCCGAAGTCAAAGTCAACGTCGACCTCGCCGTCATCAGCCTCAGTTGTGGGTGTTCTACTAAGGCGATATGCTGTATGGTATACAAATAATATGACATTGTTTTCCTGTTTGTTTATGAAGCTGATAACTCTGAATTTGAATTTGAATTGTCTTGGGCCATTTCATAAGGCAATTAATGCATTGTCTACGAATGCTCTCAACATGTGCCGATTTTATGATCTATTTGTTGATGGCGTGATTAAAAAAACCCCGACACTGCACACTGAGAAAAATATAGAATAATCATCAAAGGAGAACATATTTATTTAAATTATAGCTTAGGATCAATACAAATATTTTAGGTTTTCAAAGTAATTTAACTTGATCCCAGCGTTATTTTGTTAATCATTGTATTTTGAGAATGTATTAAAAATCCATCCGGACTGACGTGTGTTCTTTGTGAAGGTTATTATACTGACTCCATAATGAATTTATATTCTCACTCGATATAGTTTATAGCCATGCCCGTTTGTCGGGCGGTGCGAACGGTTATCTTTAAGTTATGATACTAGCCTAATGACACCTATTTTAGCTGTAGTCGGGATAGTCACATATGGCTAAAATGGAAAACGACACCTTAGTTTCTTTGTGAACCGGATAATTGAGGGGCTTAGTTTAGTTTAGTTTATGCATATAATGTTAGTATACTAGCGAGTATTCCCCGGCTTGCCGTGGCAAGACAACTTAAATCTACCTATACTATCTTGTTCACCACGTTTATTGTTATTTTTGAAATAGATAGTTAGTTCGAAGTCCATCAAATAAAGAACCAAAAGTTGGAATTAACGGTTTCCCGTGTTAGTCTTATGCTCAAAATCCTGAACCCCAAGATATAAACTTTTCTTCATTAAACATGTGACGCTCATTTTTATTCAAGAGCGCTAGATATTCCGAAAACTGAAACATGTATCATATAAACTTTTCCAACAGTTGCGGATGAAATTTCCAAAGTCACAATCGGACAAAATTATAACTTCCACCAAAAAGTCTTTGAATTGCATTTTCCACCAGGGAAGCTTGGTTTCTGTGGAATTATTGAAAGACGTCTCAAAGATCCTTTAACCTGATAACGGATCCAAAACATAACCCACCAAATTTATAACCGCCATTCCAACCGAGAAGGAATGGATTTTGGGAAAAGTTTTAAACACCCGTCTTAATAATTTAAACAAAAACCTTTGAATATAATTTTGGGTGGAATTAACCAAAGCCTTCCCGTCTTAGCGTCCGCGTCCATCGTATAAGATACAGTGAACATTCCAGCTTCCTAGCTCTTGCGGCTTGGGATGCGTGTTGATCACCAATCAGTCAAGCTATAAGGCAGTCAGGACAAACAAATATATAGAGAACATATAGACCTATTTGACCTAATCGACTGTTCAACGCACGGCCCATTCGGTTAGAGCTAGGAAGCTGCTTAGTTACCCCATGTAATATATGTGTTTTTAGGTTTCTTTATCATTTACCTTTAACATTTGTTTTTTAAGATATCTGTGAACATTTATATTTATCCCCTGGGTGATAAATGGGCCGCCAATGTTGTTTGGCGAACGTTAAATCTTCCTCCGATCGGCTTCAAGCTTATTTGCAAAGCTCTGAATAACATTTTATTATATTCCTATTTAAATGATGAGTTTTATGATTAACGATTAGGAAACGGTTCTTTTTCACTCAAATTTAATTTAATTGACAATTTTAAGGCAGTCGAGTTAAATTGAATATTCTTACTTTCGGCAAGTGGGGCGAAACCTGAGTTAAAGCTTGTAAACTACGATCTCTAAAGCTAAAGGGCGATACACATGAATTGGTAAATATTTCTAAGTTAGAGTAAAAGAACTTGGAATATAAGAACTTACGTTAAAAACTCTAATATGCAACATTATTTAATAATAAAGAATTACTGTCTATATGACTAAATGGGAAGTAAAGAAGAGGCTATATCAACGCAACAAGTCGGAAAAAATCAATGTATGTGTAATATAACAATTAAAGACCAAACGACAATATGCTCTCCAGAGACTAAAATTGTTAGATACTCACCTGTTTATCATTTTTAACAATTACTCGGATAGGTAGATTTGAAACACTTTCTTTTTTGTCATGATGATACCGCTACAAATTTCTCACACACCTGAAATTTTGCTCAACCGGATTTAGATGTCTCAATTGTAACGGTTCAGCAAGATACAGGCGCGAATGAAATATGCCGGTCAATGGATAGCACCAGAAAGATGAACTCCTGTTAGCCTGCATTCAGCTGGCAACATAATCGCAACCACAACCGCAACTATTCCTGACAACGCTCGAGCCTCGACTGATGCACGGAGCACACCAACAGCCGCTAGGTAGCCTCCCGAAATGCCACTTGATCAACTAACTAACTAACTAACCGCCCGTCCGCGCCCGACTATGTATAAAAACCTTTTTTTATTTCTATTTTTTTTGTTTGGGGAGTCGACATTAGAATTAGACTCGGAACAAAAGGAACAACAATGCCGGCTGGCCGCTTGGTTGGCTGACTGACTGACTGGGTGGGTCACTCAAATGTTGCAACAGCGGCGCATGCTTTCTAAACGCCACCGTTTCGCTTGTTCTTGTTGTTGTCGTTGTTGTGGGACGCACCTTACTAGTACAAATAGCCAGATAGAGACAGAGCGACAGCTGACACCAGCGAACGCGCCTTTTTAATGAGCTGACCCCACCTAGTCGGTGTGCGTGTGTACACCCACATAATAGCATCTACCTAACGGGAGAGGGCGCCACATGGCGTGTGTATGTGCGTGTGCGTGTGTATTTGTTGTACAGTTCCCATAGGGCGGGGGTGGCTTGGGCCTTGGTTAGCATATAATGTAACCGTTTATCATTGGACAGCCGTATATTCTTATATCCTGTCATATCAATTTTATATGTATTTAACTAAATGGGTTAATGACTTGGCAAATGCATTCCTTAATTAAATTCACGTGTCAGATGCAGCGCGTGAAACTGATCTAGAAAACCTTAATTGGTAGCATTTACGATGTAGTTCTTTTTGCAGTAATTGATTGTAGATCAATTTTCTATATATTGCTTTAAGCAATAAGTCCCCAAGAAAATTTAGAAAATAATATTATTACCATCATCTTACTTAGTTTAGCCTCCTAAACATCGAATGTAATTAAGTTAACACGGGGGTCTAACTTTTTCACAGCTGATACCTTTTATAACGAAAGTCAAGAAAGAGTTTTTCAATATCTAACCTTAAGATTGAACAATAAGTAGAAAACTTGGGCAGCCAATCTCTTAACTTATTTTAAAAGATATTTCTGCTCCTTTTACTTTTGTCAGCTTCACAAGTTTGGAACAAGTCCTTCACAAGGCTTTTCGTAGAAGGGAAAATAATTTAAATTTATAGAAAGACAACAGCTTTTACATTATATTATATATTTTTTCTTATTTTGTCGTCAACATTTATTAATCCTCCTTGTCGAATTATGATGTATGAGAAAGGCGGTGTCTATAAATTTGTCTAAAATACAGCTAAAAGAAATACTCAAGTAATATTTTTCCAAAAGCACCAGAGGGAGTCATTTTGAAGTTACAAAGACATTCGCTACCAATATTTATATGCCACTTTTAGGTATTCACAGTCCATTGCTCTATAGCACACCTTGTTAGAGGGCCAATCCTTAAAAGCATGCTACATACATATGTGCAGTCTATGTACCCATATACTGGCACACCCATGGAGTAGAGCGACGTGCCAGTTTTCGCGCCCCACAATTTGCCCTTTTTCTAGCTAGCAGCGTTATGCCAAATGGCCACGCAAGGAGCAGGACTGGCGCAGGGATGATCGGATGAGCGGTCACTAAAAGGGCGCGTTTCACATTAACACATGGTCAAATGCCAGTCTGGCTATGTGTACCACATACCCACTGTTTAATGGGATTGGCATTGGTGTCCCGAACGTACACACATTTATTAACATTTTAACTCTTAGCAGCTAGTTTGGTTAATTGAAATTTGAAGGGGTTTCAAACTCAATTCTCATAAGAGATGTCCGATCCATTCGAAAAATTATAGGTAGTTTTTTTATGAATAGAATTTTCTTTAAAAATCTCTTGATTTTGAAACATTCGTTTTTTCTTAAATTTTAAAATTAATACACTTTCAGTATTATATTTGTATACGGGAATGTAAGTTCTCCAATTACTTCGCATCTTTGATATATCCCCCGATACGCAGCATATTTAAAAACGCGTTTTAATATATATTGGTAATTACGTAGTAATGAAGGCTGTATTACACTAAACGCAGACTCTGTTTCTCGCTGCAAATTTTAAAACAACATATTTTAAAACATACCCCTCCTATGCGATTCTCATAAATTTATTGAGAACTTCAAGTTATGTTGGCAGTCTAATAAACTCTCATTTCTGGTCATAATCGTACTTTAATTTTATTATTGAGCTTAATCTCTTTCCACACTCAGTTTATTCCTTTTTCTTTCTCCTGTTCTATAAAATAAATGGCAATGAAATAATTGTGCGTGTATATGTGAATTTTCGGGCAAGTACATATTTACATATATACATAAATTGGAATATAAGTTAAGGAAATTCAGATGTGTATTATTGATTGCACATTGCTCTGATTATATATAACTGGGAGCAAAATAACTATCGAGTTTCTCACCGTTTCTTTGCACATTTGCACATTTATATAAAGTTCCGAGTCCACTGCTGGAAAATTACATACAAATCTGCCCCTTACCTTACCCATATTAGCAACGGGCGTGTTGTCAATGCTGACCATTGGCTGGAAACTACTTTTGTATACTCGTGTACATATGTATCTCATCGAAACCCGATTAAATCCATTCGTTTAGTTCATTGGTGCTCCTCTTTGTAACGCTCTGTTTTTTTATGATCTTTGTTTTCGCCATTAAACTTTAGCAGAGGGTGCGCTAGCTGTTTGAACAGCATTTACTATCAATGAAACGCTATTTAAATGCAACTAAATAATTAACAAAATTTACGCTGCGCAACGATTTGTTTGTATATAATTAAAGCAACAAATTGTTTGCTCGTTTTTTGAAGCAAATCAATTAGTGAGAGCTTGTAGCGTAAACAACATGATATTCATGTTATAACAATATATTAAACTATGCCAGTTCAGCTTGTTCCGCCGGCTCTGATTTAGGTTTAGCTTCCTTCGTTTGCGGCGTGCCCAAAGCCATAGGCAGGCGGTCGCCCCAGCGACTAACTCTTGCACAGCTGTAGGCGGCTCTGGAATAGATGCAATGATTGATCGATTAGGAACTAGAAGAAACGTTGCATACAAGATTGGTCGCTACTTACTTGCCGTGCTTTGCTGCCGTAAAGATGACTTCCTGCAAATTGCCAGATTCCGTGCACAGGCGACAAATCGAATGTTTCGAACGCACCAAAGTAGGTCGGACAATGCGTGGCCATTGTCGATAGGCATCTGTTATGGGACCTTTCTTCAAAATGGCATAACTATACACAGAACTTTGACGATCTGAAGCCGAATCACTGCTCAGACGCAGCGGAGCGTAGGAAATTTCAAAGTTGCACGGAGTGCGATCTGCCAAATCTTGCAGTCGTGGACAGGGCAGATCGTGTGGGCACTGGAAAATATATTGATAAGTTTCACCCGGAAAAAAATGTATAGGTACTTACTGGCGCCAGCGTTTGACCCGCATGTTCCCCATCAGCTCGCAGTAGAAATCGTCTCGCTTCATTGACTAGCTCGCTTCCGCGTCGTGTACCCTCCTCCACGATGACCATGTAGCCATCACACTTACGCCATAGATTCAACAGAATCTCCTGGCGCTGCTGCTTGTCGGCCAACTCGAATAGTGTATGCGAAATAATAACTAAATCATATTTCGTATCAATGGCGGGCAAAAATTGTCTATAAAAAACATTGCGCAGCGCAACTTGCTTATTCTCCTGACCCTCCTGCAGTATTAGCTCCGACAACTCGTTCATTTCCCGCGATCTGTCGACATTGTAATACTCAAAGATGCTGTCGCGCCAGAGTTCACTGGCCGCCCACATGGCGGTGCCAACGCCAGAGCCAAAGTCGAAGTAGCTGCGTGGCTTGAACTGTTCATCGCGCAACTGCAGCTCTGTCAGCACACGCTTCAGTACCGCATACTCCTGTGCGGCTCTGCCTACGGCATAAACAATGGCTTCGTATTTACCATATTCGATGCGTTTCCAGGCGTAGGTACGCTGACTCAAACGCTTGTTGATCTCTAGTTCACGCTTGCGTTGCCAACGCGCCACCTCTTCCTCACCAAGCGTGGCTAACCGTTCTAGCGGCATCTTGGAATTGACCTCTTCAATAATCAGTCGCTTTTTGTTTTCAATTTCTGATGGCGTTGGCGGCGGATGGCGCGATTTTATGTAACGGTTCAGCAGATCACTGTCGCGCAGCACTTTTCTCACAGGATGATCACCCACAATGCGCTTTAGAGTATCGCTCAGCTGTTTGGGCAGCTCGACATGATTGGGCTTTATGATGCCAGGATGCTTGCGCGGCTTTATTGCCGCCTGCTCCAAATCTGCAAGCACAGCCGGTTCAACTGCAGCACTGATTTTGGATGTGTATCGTTGCAATAGGTGTGTGCTTGTTAGAAAAAGTCGCGGCGCGAGCATTATGTGTCCAGCTGTGTCCAGAATGAAAAGCGAGCCCATGTTTAATGGACTTTTACTGCACAAAAAGAAAATAAACAAATCACATGTGGCGCCCGTTGCAAGCAGTGGACTATTTTGTTAAGTTGTGCAACACAACTGGCACGTTTTCCAGCACTATTTCAATTTAAGCTGGGTATGCAAATAAGTTGCGTTGGCACTAACAGAATTTCATTGTTGAGCACACAACAGCAACCATTTTCATTTGTTCGCCCTGGCAATTATTTGATATAATAGATACTATTTTTTGTTAACAGCTAGGTGGATTTATTAGTAAGACATTAACTCAATTTCGTTCCACATAGCATGTTCCACTATTTAAGCAGCATACTAGCCTTAAGTGCGTCGCCGCTTCGTTTTTACTGGCAAAACGGAACCATTGTAAAACAGATATAAACAAAATGTTTTAGCTATAAATTATGGACGAATATGAAGCACAGGTGAGTGTGTCACAAGATGATGATGTCGTATAATACCTATTGTCTGCATTTTAGTTGCTGGTGGTTGAGCAGGCGCTGCTTGTGACTACCGACGAACAGCAGCGGGAAGAATTAATAGCACTACGTACAAACTTGGAGGAGCTTCTTGCGCTGACCAGAAGTAGCGAAGCAGACGATACCAACGACACAAAGACACAACAGGACACTGAAATCGATGACGAGCTAAAACGTTTTCAAAGTGAGCTAAGCAGCTTAGAGCGGGAACAGACGGATTCACAAGATGACCAGCAACGATTGGAAGAACTTCGCACCAAATACAATGCTCTGTTGGGAGAAAAGTGTTCGGCACCGCATGAACATAGCTGGGGTGCACTTAGCTATCACAATGCACTGATATGTGGCGTGGACGATGAATTAATTCTGGATAAAAATGGCATTTTAGACGTACGATTGCGCGTTCTCTTTACAAACCCTACGCATCGCGAGATGTTGCCTTGCAACTATTACCTGGAGGGTGAATGTCGATTCGACGAAACTCGATGTCGTTATTCTCATGGAGCTCTAGTGCCAGGAGCGGCCATTAAAGACTACAATGCACCAGATTTTTGCAGGTTGGCTCGCAACTGTCCAGTGCTAGCCAAGCTGCAGGATCGTCTGTGGCATCGTGGTCGTGTGCTGTGTGTAAACTTCATGGAACAGCAGTGTCGCGTGCGCTTGGATGGCCAGGAACACAAGGAGCGTGAACGAGACTTTCCTTTTGAGGAACTTTTTCCGTTGATAGCCGAAGAAGATGACGAACTAAGTAGCGATAGTGAAGAAACAAATGAAACAGATGGAAGCGATGCAGCGAATGAATCCGACATGGATGACGTGGAGGCTGCACGTCAAGCACGTATGGTGGAGCTTAGCTTGTTTACGTTTAAGCCAAACGAACGATTGGGCGCCTGGGAGCAGTATACGCGTGTTAGTGCCCAGATAAATTATGACAATCAAAAAATTAATACATTCAATTACAGGGCATAGGCTCCAAACTGATGGCCAGCATGGGTTATATACACGGCACAGGCCTTGGGTCGGATGGTCGCGGAATTGTTACGCCGGTTAGCGCGCAAATACTCCCACAGGGCCGCTCGCTCGACGCCTGCATGGAGTTACGTGAGGCAGCCAACGGCGATAAGGATTACTTTAGTGTAGAACGCAAACTAAAGCGGGCCCAGCGTCGGCAGCAGGCAGCAAATGAAAAGGCCTACGAACGGGAGTCGAAACGGACAGATGTGTTTGCTTTTCTCAATGGCAGTGTGCTGGGACAGGGTAGTCAGCGGACCGAGAGCTCCACCAAGACGACAAAAATTGATAATCTCCAGAAGCATACTAACAAATCGCTTAATGTGGAAACGGTGCGCATAGCCGATGACATACGTAGAAAGCAGCGGGACATTGCCAAAACGCAGCAATCGCTTGCACGAAACGCCATCGATTCGCAGCTGCAAAAACGGTTGAGCTCCCAGCTTCAAAGCCAGAAACAGGAACTCGCTACGCTGCAGGCTGAGGAGAGCAGTCTCAGCAAAGAGCAGCAGACGCGAAAGAGTAAAAATAAAATGTTTGAGTTCTGAATTATGATTCAGTTCTTTTATATTCTTACATCTATCTAATCTATAATTCTCGGGTATATTTCTCTAAGTGCTGCCAAATGCACCTGCCGTTAGCACGGCAGTCATATACTGCTCCAACAACGCCTGCGCCAGATGTGAACCATGCTCCACGGCTAACGCGTAAGCTGTCTCTCCATTCTCATTAGTTGCACTAAAGTCCAGATCCCTGGCCAGCAGCTCATTGCAAGTGTGTGGATGATTGCCTGCCGCCGCGTACATAAGTGCCGTATTGCCCACAATGTCCATTTGGGTGGCGATTGCACCACGGTCTAACAGGAAACGCACAATTTCATTGTGTCCACCAGCGGCTGCAAGCAACAATGGTGTAACCATGTCCGGCGCCAGGCTATTCACATTTGCGCCTGCCGCAACAAGCAATTGCGCCGACACCAATTGGCCATATGACGCGGCCCAGTGGAGAGGTGTAAATCCATGCGAATCCTTGAAATCTACGTGTGGCTGTCGTTGTAGCTCGGCCTTTACCTGCTCTTCCGTGATTTCACCTTGACCGGCGCGTTCATGAAAAGACAGCGACACCTCCACAGTACAAAATGTAGCCTCAGTGTTACCACGCTGCAGATTCGTTAGGACCGTCGATTGAGGACGATATGGTAGAAATGCGCTCTTACGCTTAGTCGAGTTGGCATCCAGCAATATACTTGACCCGTGCAGCGTAGAGGAAGCCGGTGGATGTACGTGGGAAGGTCTAGAGGGTTCATCATCCTCGGAGTTTGTGCTGGTCTGTAGTTTGTTTACAGGTGCAACCATTGCCTACCTTATTCTTCTATTATCAATTCCTGCAAACGGTATTTGTAATAATTTTATAAAACATTTACTAAAAGTACCACGTTTATGGTACAAAACAGTATCTACGCAAATATGTTTTTACTGCAAATAGCGCTTGCCTTAAAATGCTCAGCTGATTTTTGCCAAACAGCTGCTCGCTCAGCTGATCAATGTGAAAAATAACAATTATTAAACGCAGCTTAAACTACCAACGGTTTTTTTTTATCATTGTTGAAAAGTGATTAAAATTGCATTTCTTGAGTAATTCCTGTGGTATATTAATTTAATTCGATATAAAGTGTTTAATAAAGTTTGTTTCGGGGTCATAAGAGTGTCAAAACAAAACCGTAGCATTCATGCATATTTATATTCATTTAGCTAGAGATGGAAGTATGGCGGTATTTTAATTTGCAAGTGCTGCTTATCGATAACAAAATTACCCAGCTGGTGATGGTTGTGTTTTGTTTGGGTTTTTTTATATTTTTTTATTAACAAAATTAATTATGTAAATATATTTAACTGATTCATTAGTACTTACTTATGTGTGTGAGCGTGTGTTTCATAACAGGTTTATTACTGTGGCGTTGTTAATAAAAAATACACCCTGCACCTGTTTGGCTGGTTTCAAAGCAAACCTGCGTTTTTGGGCCTTTTTTTGCCCCTTTAACATTGAGGAAATTTTTCGCAATTAAATTGCGACGAAGTTTGGACCCACGAACACAACACTATCACAACTTCATAACAAAATGGGGAACAATGTGAGTGCCAAGGCCGATGGCGAGGGCAGCGAACCTCCGTTGGACGGTGGGAAACATAAACACCACCATCAACATCACAAGTCCAGCATACAATCATCCAACAGCAATAACAATGCCAACGATGTTGTTGTCAGCAACAGCAGCGCCAGCGGCAGCGGCAGCAATAACAGTCTCAAGGTGCAGTCACAAACGCAAACAATGACCAGATCAGCATCAGGCGCAGATGTGACAGAGAAGTACCTTACCCAGCTGGTGCCAGTAGAGCGCCTGGCTGAAATATTAAAGGAACAGACGAGTAACAAGTACGGCATCAATGGCATTATGTCAGATGTTTTTGTGGTGAGCAAGCACAGTTAATTAGCTGATAACAGTTTTATAGCAGTTTCAAAACAATTATTTTCACGCACACAAACACACACAGTCTCAAGTGTTTCCCGAATACACTGATTTGGGCCATCGACTCTTTCAACTAATGCACCTTAACTCTAAGGCAACAACGAAGCACCTGGGCACCGTGGCCTTTCGACAGCAATGCGAACGATTCCTGGGCATCATGGATGATGCTAAGGTGCTGGAGAGTTACATCAAGATGTACGCACAGGACGATAATCCAGATTTGATAGACAAAGCAGGCGTCACACGCCTGTTGCTCATCTGCTATACGATTGCCATGCAACACTCGGGGAATGCTGTGCTCTGCACGGCCATAAACAGGACGTTTGGCTCTGTGACCAAGTCGATATTTTTTAGCCACGATAGCCTCAGCTTGGGCTTCGTTTGCCGTTGGTTCGAGCAGAATTTGATTCGTCTTGTTCTACTGGTTCACAAATACTGCGTCCATACGCTCTCCACTGCATATCGCGGCTTGGAACAACAGTCTCAGTCGTGCGGAATTGAGCTACAAACGCCAGTGCTGGAACAGCGCAATCCATTTGCATCCAGTGATGCAACGGATCACAGTGCGCCCGCCTTGCACAATGAGACGTTGATGCCGCTGTCACAAGCGTGGCTGCTGGCGGGCGCCCTACCCCCACTGTATTCCAAGCCACGGACGATTGTGCCGCCCAATAGCAGCAACAACAGCAGCGCTTCGAGCGCTGTGCAGATTTTCAAGGATAAACTGTCAATGATGCCATCACACTGGACACTACTGTACGATTCCAACGAGCATGGGGTGGGTGCCAATCGCTTTTTGCACCATGTACTCGGCTACCGCGGTCCGACGCTGGTTCTGCTGCACACCAAGGACGAGCAGACATATTGCATTGCGGCGCCCAATGAGTGGAAGGAGACGCATTTGTTTGTCGGCGGTGAGGGTAGCTGTGTGATACAGCTGTTGCCCAAGTAAGTAATAAAAAGAAAACACGGTCAGATTTAAAGGGGAACTCTACAGTAGAAACAATTTCATTTCCATTGTCCTTGTAGATTTGTGATACTAGAGAAGAAGCCCAACATTTTGTACCTTAACACCAGCATACGCGGCTATCCCAAGGGCTTGCGAGCAGGCGCTGATCCGCGCAAGCCCATCATATCGGTTGACGAACATTTCGAGAATGTAGACTGTAAGGGCATTGCGGCGGGCCTTATGTCCATTGAGGCAAGTAAATTGTTAATATGGTATATTTTTTGCTATATTTGTATGTGCAATAAGCCTTAGTCAACACAGTATACATATATAAATACTTATGTATGGTATAAAAATTCATAGACATATTCTAACGTATATCGCATATATATTAACGGCGTAATTTCCAGTCTAAGCATTTAAAAACAACACTTTCCAGCAATTGATAACCGAAGGCCAATTTCGCCTGTAAGCTTTTACAGAGCTTTTACAGAGGTAAATGAGCCCAGAGCTAACATTTAGCCGCGAAAGTGTGTGTACATTTGAATGAAGTCTAAATTCTCCTCACCAAAAATATAAACGACGATGTTACAATTACCAACAACAAAAACTGCAATGTCTTACAGGTTTGGGGCTGCGGCGATAAATCATCACGCGAAGTGCAATTGGATATTAAGAAATGGCAAATCAAGGAGGCGGAACGTCAGCGCACAGTTAAATTAACAGCCGCCGATTGGATGGATCATCCGGATCGATACCTTCTCGAGCTGGGCGGCAGGCAGAACTACAACAACTAAAAGCAATAATTATTGCTGTTGTTGTTGGTGCGTGTATTGATTCGAAAGCAATTGGTGTGTGCCTTTAATTCGAGAACGCGATTAAAATTAACGAGGAATACTTTTAAAAACGATGATACTTATTAGTCATTCGTTCTCACGCAGCGCGACAAGAGTTTGCTACCCTGGACTGAAATTGTTTTTTGATTTTTATGTTGTTTGATTAACGAATTTTGTTTCATGTTTTCCTATGTTCAACGGCAAATTGGAATCGATTTGATATATATTTTAACGTTATGTGTCGTAATGCCATTTTAATTATACTATTCGATTAAGCTTTTGCTTGTAGTTAAAAGCGTCGTCCTTGTCACCAGTTCTGTATTTCCTTTTTTCTAATCGTCCGCTTGTTTTTGCAATTTTTAAGTGTCAGGTAATTTAGTTTTTCTTTCTATTTTTTCGTTTTCTATTTGTTCTAATCTTAGAATGCAAGTATTATGAAAAGACAAAAAATTTTTAAATAATAAACATAATCAAATGTTGCAAATATGGCTTTGAATCTTTTTATGACCAGGCGCTGATTTGGTGGAACCGTTTAATTAAGTGTATGGTGCTTATCAGCCAAGCACTTCAAAAGTTGATAAATTTTCCACACTCATGCATACCATACGTATGCGTTTACAATGATTCATGATTTTATCTGTTAAAGAATGAGTTTGATAAAAAAAGCCATTATTTGCTGGGTTGCTTTAAAATGATATCATTATGTATATGGCAAGAAATAAAGTTTTAACAATCAAATGCAAAAATGATGAAGATTCATTTTTGGGTTAAGTATTCCAGTCTCAAATACAAATTCAGACAATTGACCCATTGAATATATCCAAAAAGAATCCCAGTCTTAATTATTTCAAACATAACCCAATAATTCTTAAAAAATATTTAAATGTCGTACTATTTCAAAGGACAGCAACAGTACAGCTCTATTATATTGTCATTTACAAGAGTCACAAAGACAACTCCTTGATGCTATGCATCTTGAAGAAAATTCAACGGAAATGTAAATGCTTAGTATAAATATAAACATTCTTGGTGGAATGTTTTGGTATTTTGGCAATTTAAAAATTTCTATAAAAGCTGTAAATTAAAATGGCAAATGTATAAATATAACATAATAAATTTCTTTCTGGTATCTTGAAGTAAAAGTATAAATTACTAATGTATAATGGTTCAAGAGAAATATGAATAAAACAAAAATAAAATAAAAAACGCACATTTTCCTACTGCAAGTTGAAAAAATAAAATGATATAGAAAATATCCGAATGGATTAATATAAAACAAAAATGTTTTTTAAATAATAAATACCAATAAAACTATTTGAAATGATAAAAACCGAAAAAAATACATCAATTAAGAATTTGCATAATTATATTATTGAGAATTACATAAGTTAATATACAATATATGTTTTCAATATAAGTTACGCCCTTTTCTGACCGGCAGTCACTCCATTCACAATCTTTTGCTTTAAGGGTATGTATCAATTTATCTACTAAGCAACATACGAGCACAAATACGAGGGTACAGGGTATTACTAGCCTAATAAAAGTACAAACTACTGACAGTCACCATAGCGTCGAGTCTAACTATCTGCATTTGTATAAGTGTATAATTTTCGTAGAATTTATAATTGCCTATGATTTTGAAGTTCAATGTATAAAACGTTCGAGCCTAATCTATAAATATATATATATATATGTTTAAGAAAATCTATCGATTCCCTTTGCATATAGATTTACATATGTTTAATGAAGATTCGTTGGAATTGAATGAATCTCTAAACCGATTATATATGCAGCTATTTTATAAAATCAGTTGTTGCTTTCGCATTGAAAACTAAGGCCACGCAATTTAGAATTTCCCAATTTGATTGGGTTGCCAGAAGAGTAAGCTATATGTGAGTATTAAGCTTAATTACAAAGGAATTTATGTTTGCCAATCGGTTGACTAAATAATAATTGAGTGAGTAATCGAAATAACTGATAAGGTATATAAACAGAATAAATATCGCTACTTCAATTTTAAATGGGTCTAGGTGATGTACTCTCTGTCTCGTCGACGACGCGTCGTCGATGCCACAACCACAATCGGCATCTGTTCAACATTCTCTCCACTCTCTATATCATCATCAGCGTCATCCTCATCGTCATCGTCTTCATCGTCGTCGTCATCGTTGTCATCGTCCCCGCCCGTTGAGTTGGACCACTCGGATGCAGTTTGGTTGCTGCACGTGGCGCTGAATTTTAAGCTGCTTGACATGCCAAATGAAACGGACAGCGATGCACTCAGCGATGAGGCATTCAAATTTTGACTAATTTCTACATCGTCCCCATCCTCGAGCACATCAATGTGCTGATGCTGATAGCGTTGTCATCTGCCCGCGCCCAGCAGCAGTGCATAATCATCGTTGGACTCGGGTATCGGGGCTGCCGCAGAAGCAGCAGTACGCGCCTGCAGGAAACTGCTGCCACCGGCTTGTGGCGGCCCAACGCCACCGAGAAAATGCTGCTGATCCCGTTCGCGCAGATGCTGGTTCGTATCGCGTTGGCGCGCCGACAGTTTCAGATTGGAGCCCGGCAAATGCAGTTGTTGTTGTTGGTAATTGTTGCTATTGCTATTATCATCAGCCACATCGGTGCCTGCTATAGGAAATCGAGATGGGGAATGAGTTTGGTGTTCAGTTAGTGGACCCATTAGCCCAACATTAACGGGCACAATTAACCGACTCGTTGTGGCGCCATATGTGGCATTGCTGTTACCTGCTTGTGCGACGTTACCCCCCGACATCGGCTGTTCCTGCCGCTTGCCAATTAAGTACTCGGACTCGCTGCTAGAACGGCGTGGACCCCGCGCCAGCGGCTGGTATGTACTTCGACCCTGAAAACGTCGACTAATTGAGCTGCTGACCACGCCCAAGTGCTCCGTAACATCCTCCTGCATGTCCGAGATGTCCATCATAGAGAGGAAGGCTCGACACCAGCTGTGATTTGGATTGTTCCAATACTGTGGTGAATTAATGTGGAATGGATGGTGGGGAAAGCTGTAAATGTGAGCCACGGCAGCAATAAACATCTCTATGCATATAAGAAAGTTCTAAAAACAAACAACAACAACAAAACAATTAAAATAACTTTATAGAAACCCGATCAGATATGCAATCAAAGACTTACTTGCAGCATGGACGCTAGATTTGCATCACCGACATCGCCAAAGATGCCCTTAATAATCCCGTAGTATACCAGCGCATTGAGCAGCACTCCTTGGCTAAAAATGGGAAAAATAAGAGATTACTGTTTAACTATAATGAAGTATTGTTTAAGTACTTACAAAAATGAAAAGAACACAACAGCCTTGATACACAGAAATTTTGGTATCGGCTTCATGGGCTTCAAGTCCTCTTTGTTCGCCCGATAGAAAAGCACCAGGCAGTACATGGCCACAAACTGTGAGATATTGTTAATGACCACAATATAGGGGAAGGCTACATTTCCGGCAAACTCGCCCTCGCCATAAACGCCGCACAGTTCGCAAATGCTGTGCCGATTAATAGGTAAGACATTATTTTCATTTGATTAACATCTACAGATAACGAAATATTGCTCGCCCTAATATGCCCCAGCTTAACATTGGAACATATAGAACTATTCTATGATACATAACAAAGTTGTTAAACAAAGAGTTTAGTTTTTCGATTGCCTCTTTTTCCATTATCAAATTTGATATAATTTTTAATAAATTAAATGATGTAAGCATAGCAATTATTTATCAATTTATTTTTATACATTGTAATCTCTACTATTATCATTTGTTCTCTTATTCTTATATATATTATTTTTAAGATTTCCCTCTAAGCATGCCAAACAAAACAACCTGAGGCTCATTTAATATTAATGCTAAGAAGAGAGCTCATCATTGTTTATACGGAATTGCAACGTGGCATTTTATACATTATCATACTCACACCGAGATGAATGTCGTGATGGGCCGCACCACAGTGTACTGCAATATGCCGTGCTTGCAATTGTGGATGAACTCGCGACCCATGACCCAGGGTCGCATGCAGCAGAGCGGAAAGAAGTGATGCACTTGCGGCTTGTACTCCATTGTCGCCTCCAGGTCCATGCCGAGATTCAAGTAGTTCAACAAATAAACCATGAAATTGTAGATTACGTATGCCTCATAGCACTCTCGCAGCGAGTCAACGTAGATGGAATGCTTGGGAAAGAGCAGGCCGAGCCACTGTAAACAAATTCAAATTCAAATTCGAATTTCAATGACTTCAATGCGAGCAATGTGGAACAATAATTGGACATGATTCGATTACGGGTCTCGATTTCAACCGCTTCCATTGGCCCACTTACCGCATTCAACGCGTAGATGGGCACCATCCACAGTATGCGTATTATGTGCTTTTGTAGAATGGGCTTTGTGAAATGTATGACGTGTTGTATGATGTGCCAAATGGAAATGGGCACCGCGGATAGAACGAACAGACCGCCGATGAGTATAAGCTGGTCATTTTGTTGGAAGCCATCCTTCACCGAGTTCACAATCAGCAGGGGCACCACAATGATCGCAAATATCGCATAGGTCACAATCAACAGGGGCCGTATCCAGATGCGCCATTCTTCGCAGAAGCGGCGTATGTCGAGGCGGCACATCCTGCACATAAATTTTGTGTTGGCTGTGTGTGTGTGTTTGAAGAAATGTTTCGAGTTTTGCTTTCGTCACAAGACAAAGCCCCAGAGCAGCAGCAGTAGCGGAAACGACGTCGTTGTTGTTGTTATTGTCGCCGCCGCCCCGTTATTGTTGGTTGTCGGTTTTGTTTGATACGTTTGTGTCCCTCTCAGGCTTTTAAATGGCACGTCTCTTACACCCGCGCACTGTTTGCAAGCGCCCAGCGCACATCGTTGCTATCGCTTGTTTTACAACACACACGCAACACAATATAAGCTAAGCTGTAGTATGCAAATTTTAACTATTAAGAAACTTTTGCGTTTTCTGTGTAGTGACAATCGCTTGATAAGGGGAAACTTTTAACTGTCTGGCATTATCGAAAACATTCAAGTGCTGCAAAATGTCAAGTCATTTGCATAATTTTTCAACACTGACGCAAGCAGAGTTGCTATTGGTACTTTATACTTTTTCTTGCTTATTGTATTAACATTTCTGTAATAATTTCCCCAAATTTTAACATTCTACACAAATTTCCCCCTGCTCCAAATTTAATTTTCTCTTGATATTGTATATGTATTTTAATTACAGATTAAAGAATTATAGAATTAATGCATATTCCATGCAGATAAAAACATTAAAAGCTATTAAACATATATAGTGTCCTTTAAGCTGCTGCTACGGTTCAAAAACAATATCGCATCGATCTGATTCTGGCTACCAGTTAGCATAAATCGCTTATTGTAATCATAAATCTGTTCACGCAACACCTTCTTGAAATTCAGATTTACCACACCAGGTACTCCCTGATATAGTGTAGCCAAGTCGCGTAGCGTTCCATAGATATGGCCCATTTTGTTCCACCACTCAATGGGCGACTCGTCCAACTGGACAATCACCTCATTACGATAACGCTTGAGGTCAGTTTCCACAGTGCTGTCGGCATCTCGCTTTGGCGGATTAGGTATCTCTGCAACGTCAAACAGCAGTTCCAGTTCTAGAGAAAACTCGTTTTAAATTAATCTAACTATTGCTGTAATATTTAGCAAATTCGACTTACTAGATTTCTTCGCACTGTGCGAGGTGGCAGCTGCGGCAGACGAGCTACTGCCAGACTTGACATTTGGCTCCGTTTTAATGGTTACTGTTGGAGCGTTGACGGGTGCAGTGGGTGCCACATCAGCCGAATCCCCGCTCTGACTGTCTGTGCCAACCGAGCCGCCGAACGTCTTGTTGTATTTCTGTGTTAGCATACGCACACAGCTGTCAAGGTTTTCAATTGTGGTTAAACGATGGAATCGCGGATCAAGCAGCGCAGCGCTGGTCAGCGTATCATTGGCTATAATCTGTGATTGCAGCACACCCGCAATGGTGCGCTTGATATTCATCATTAAGGGCTCGTCCTGCTCAGCAATGCCCAGTTTCTTAATTAAAATCTTTGATGTAATGGGAGACAGCATGCTGCACAGAGGCATGTCCTCGCCACGCAAAGTATCCAGTGCAATCTGATTTAAATATGAGGAATTGATATGTTTTCGCTCGAGTGGTTAATGGGCATATGACTTACCACTAGAGCGCTTAACGCTTCGGTCACGGTTTTGGCCGTGATGACAAGTTGATCCATGTCCTCTGACCAAGATATAGATTCGGCAAAGAACTTAAGCAGCTCGTACAGAGTCCAAGGGAAATGTTCATTATATGCCGGCAGCTCCGACACCTTGGAACTAATTTCTGCCGAGTGGCGCTGTATAATGTCCTTCACCTGCTCCAAGGACGTGGCAACCTCCTCCAGTTCAAAGACGTGCCGCAGGCACTTGTCAATAACCGACACATAGCAGAGCACAACGGGTATATCTGTTTGATGTTTAAACAATACATATTTATAGTCTGAAGAATGGGCATTTACAACAAATAAGCGGCTACATAGACACCCAATACTACAGCATACAAATCAGTACAGAGAAATCTCTTATTCCCTTACGTACAGGTAAAGTATTTTTGGATCAGTGTTAACACCTGATCCGATCTGGGAGCAGTTCTTATTAGTTAGCTTATTGGGTCTAGCGAAATGCTTAGGTACATAGCTCAGCACACCTAGGCCTCTGAGCTGCAGCAAGATTATGTTGTACTCACTCTTTTCCTTCAAATAGGTCTGCAGCAGATCATCCTCATCGTCATAGTTCACGATGGCCAGTGTGCAATTGGGCAAATAGAAATCGGCGAGCAGCTCGTCGAATGAGATGTAGTCAGTATACTCGATGGTGGCATACATGACGCTGCGGACGCACTGCGTCTCGTCACTCAAGTAGTGATGGTAGATGCTGAGGAAGCGACGCTGCTCCACATTCATCCACTGCTCGAAGGCCAGCGAGTAGGGCTTCTCGGCGGTAAAGTCGCGCGTGAAATCGCCCATTTCCAAGAACTTGGATGCATGCTGTTCGGTAATCAGCGCGTCAATCTTCTGGGGCATGGGCAGCGATGGCAAGTTGCCCATGGCTAGACGTATGAACTCGCTAATGCCCAGATCGTATAGGGTCTCCACGTTGCGCAGATCACGCACAACTATGTCGGCCAGGGCCTCGGGTAAATTGGTTATATAGCTGCGCACCTGCATGCCACCCGTGCCCTCCTCGTGCTTAATGTTAGCGCGCGTAAAGTGCATAGTTCCAGACGGGGCTGTACTTTTGCGCTTACGCGCATACTTCAGCTCGCGCGGCTCAATACTAATAGAGCGATCCTCCTCTTCGACCAGGTTATCGGCGTCGTCATAGGTTAGCGGTACCATGGTTTCGTATAGCATTGTCTGGGAGGCGGCATCATCTTCGGCCTGCATGGCTGCTGCGGCCACAGCTGCCTCGTCCATTTCCTCGTCTTCATCGTTCTCGTGGTGAGTGCGATTGTTAATGAACTCTAGCTTGACGCGACGTGAGGAGACGTTGCGCTTGGACAACGGTGGATGGTTTAGATTGCGCGGAGTCTTGCGCGGCGGCACTTGTATATCGTTTTCCTGGCACAAGGCCTTGAAAAGGTCCTTGTGGCGATGTTGCAGATGCGCACGCAAATTGGTGGTATTACCGTGATTGGTCAGCACTTTATGGCATTTGATGCACACAACATTTTGCTTGGTAATTACCTCGTCATTATCGTTCGATGGAAAGCCAAAGTAGCGCCAATAGACGCTTTTCATTTTGGGCGAGTACAGCTTGGAAAAGTTGAGCTGCGAGACATCCTCGTATTTGGCTTCAACAACCATTGGCGAACTGGCCACTCCGTCCATTTTTGAGTTCTTGGCTGTTTATTGATATCTGATTACCGATGCCACAAAAAAATAAGCGCGCAATTTCTCGATTATAGATAGTCAGTTCAATAGTCAATAGTTTTTTTTATCTGTATCAGAAAGTACAGTTCAGAGTTGCCACGCGACAGAGTAGCCAATCGATAAGGCAAATGCGCGTATTATATGTAATAGATGCGCAGAACTTGTAAGTTATTTATTTTTAATTGTTAGACATATAATTATTGCTGCGCGTTTGACATTTGCTTAGCGTCGGGCAGCGGAAAAATGTAAACTGTATGGAATTTTTGTTAACACTGATTGCATCACCAATCGATAGCTGGGGAAATTTTTGCGGCAGCCAGGGAAGTTTTTCGAGGGAATTTTTTAATACTGTATGCTCATGACGTGAAGTTGGCTGCGATTTTCTTTTTGATTCGTTGTTGGGTAGCAAAAGGTGTGTGGAATTTTACAATGCACAGAATTTAATATATTTAGATAAGCAGTGACGCGGAATATAATGCGATTAATAGCCTAAAGGGTGCACCGCCTAATAGGCTATGACTTAACATGAAATATGTGGGAAAAATGATTCCATAACGCCTGAAACATGCAAATATATGCCAGCCACGTGGTGTGCGCACCCGTAATTTGGTTATAATATATACAAACCTATATATATGAATGTGTACTAATTTGTGTTTTTTTACTTGATCTCTGAAACAGCTTAACTAAACCGCCAAGATGGGTAAGGGTAACAATATGATTCCAAACCAGCATTACCACAAGTGGTGGCAGCGTCATGTGCGCACCTGGTTCAACCAGCCGGCGCGCAAGATCCGCAGACACGAGAACCGCGTCAAGAAAGCCAAGGCTGTCTTCCCGCGTCCTGCCAGCGGTCCCCTGCGTCCAGTTGTGCGCTGCCCGACCATCCGCTACCACACAAAATTGCGTACCGGTCGCGGATTCACCATTGAGGAACTGAAGGTGCGTGTGTTATTTTATGCTTGCTGTGAATTAAAACTGATTTAACATTATTACACTTAGGGTGCTGGTCTGAGCCAAGCCTTCGCCAAGACCATTGGCATTGCTGTCGATCGTCGTCGCAAAAACAAGTCGCTGGAGTCTCGTCAGCGTAACATTCAGCGCCTGAAGGAGTACAGAAGCAAACTGATTCTGTTCCCCATCAATGAGAAGAAGATCCGCAAGGGCGAATCAACTGTTGAGGAATGCAAGCTGGCCACACAGCTCCAGGGACCCATTATGCCCCTTAAGAAGGAGCAGCCGGTTGTTGAGTTCCGTGAAGTTACCAAGGATGAGAAGAAGTTCAAGGCCTTCGCTACTCTGCGCAAGGTAGGTTTAATGTTTGTGACAAGTGGCTTGAATATTTATTAATCAACATTGTTATTGTTTACAGGCACGTACTGATGCTCGTTTGGTTGGCATTCGCGCTAAGCGCGCCAAGGAGGCAGCTGAGAGCGAAGAGGGCGCCAAGGCTGATACCAAGAAGGCCAAGAAGTAAACTGCATCTAGACCTGATAATTCTGTCAACAACAACAACAACCAGAATAAAGTTTTAGTTTTTTTCATAAACGTGAATGTCTTGTAGTCGTTTTTCATCCCCATTGTATCAAATAGTAATTCAAGCAAGAAGTACTCTTCTTACTGCATATTCCGTTCACTCGCTGCCAGCTGCTGAAATACCCGATTGGTTCGTGCGCTCCTTTTGCTGTCCTGTCCGAAAGATATATGAACATAGGAAGTCTCTTTTTTGAATCTGTGGAACATTCGCTAAGCTGATTGCCTTTCAATAAGGTTGCCCATCATAAGTCGTCTGCCGTTGAACAACAATGAATCCCAGCTAGAACAAAAGGAAGGTTTACTTGAGCAGCTGTTGATGGCCTTTGCACACGCACAACATTCAACAAATACGAATACTCTGTTTTTTGGAATATGTCGTGTGGGTGCACGGACATGGATGTCCAAGCAAATCGAAAATTGACAAAAGAGAGACAACGGTGGTGTTATTCTTAATTCATAAAGTCGAAAAAAACTTAACTTTAACAAATTTATTTAAGATTAAAATATTGATAAGCAATAAGTTTCAAATGAATTTCTAAAAAGATTTCTGACAATTAGAAGTTTTCAGCCTAAAGGTAATATAGTTTTATTCAACCGAGTTTCACAAATATCCCCCATTTGAGACTATAATTTTTAAATGTTTTCTTATGTAAACAGTGCATCAATAAGCTTTTACGGCTTGGGCTATGATTTGATAACCAACCAGACGAAAAGTTAGCCAGGCTATACAGCAATCAATTTAAATGTATATTCAAATGCTATGGGCACAATTATATTATCGTAGACATTTCTTTTCTTTGCAACGTTTCAGAGATGTGTGTTGAAAACTTTTTAAGTATCTCAGAGAATTTTGGCTGCTTTTAATGTTCAGTTTTTGACTCAAATGATATATTTTAAGCCTTCAACATAAATGTATAAAATATTTGTTCGTAGATAATGTTTTGTGGGATTGAGAATTAAAGATTCAAAAGGGAGCCATGCGTCTCTTTCCAGCACATATACCATAGTTTAGTTATTTTAACCTTAAGATAAGTTCACAATAAGGTCGAGTACATTTGTATATGTCGTCTGCTCTTTAACCCCTCCCAAAGCAGCCAAAGGGCGATGCAAACATATGACCACAATTCATCGAGAAATTATAATCAACTGAACAGAATTAACGTATAGAATGCAAGTGCACACTTTTAGTGTAACATATGCAAAAGGAAAACGTTTGTTACTTTTGTTAAAAAAGAAAAGGGTTGCACAGTTGTTGTTGCCTCCACCTCCGCCAAGCAAAGTCAACCCAATTCAATTATCGGGCTGCGGCTGCTGCCTGGCAGCCCGCACCTTGAACCTTGTTTATGGATTTCGGCGATTTATATTTCAGTTAACCTTGTTTTCGGCACTGTCGCTTGTTTTGTGTCAAATGCATTCAAATTTTTATTATTGAAATTTATGAGCGCAAAAGTGATTTTCCTCATAGTTTTTCCTGCCTGTCCCTCTGATTTTTTGTGCTCGTTATGCTGGTGCTGGCCAAGGGTGTCAACGGGGGTTGCCGGCAGCGGTAAACAACCAAACCGAACTAGGAGAACGCCTGACACCACACCGTAATTGGCAATTGTTTTTCTGTTTGTGTATGTGTGTGTGTGTGCTACCTTTTGGTGGCAGCAGCAGGGGCAGGGGCAGGGCGAGCATCAGGAGCAGTTGTGGCTTTCCATAACTTTTTTTTTTTGCAACATGTGCGCCAGACCCATCAAATGCAGATCCGAGTTCTTCTTCGTGTGGGCTCATTTGTTTAGTTTTGGGCAAGTAAAAAGTTCTGTTCGCCTTGACGCTTGGAAATTTCATTTCAATTTTCACAATTTACGCTTCAGCTTGCCACACTTTAAATGCAAAATCAATTTGACGTTGCATCAAAGTGTTTTTAACCGCGACATTTTCCACAGGCTCTCGATTGATATCGTAGCAGCAACGACCACCAACCCTGACCATCATCCTGCCCGCAGTGGGTTAATCTGCATATGTGCGGAATGTGCCGGGATGTACAAATCCATAGATGTATGTGCTCGAGTGTCTGCACCATAAACGCAATCAGTGCTTAATGATCCATACAGCAATTGGATTAGTGCGTGCCTCGCAGGCAAACAGAGCAGGAGCAGGGGCAGGAGGGGCAGCAGCAGGGACAGCAGCAGGAGCAGCAGAGACAGCGACAGAGCAGTTCCAGGAGCTGCAGCAGCACTTGCTGAAAGCTTCTTGTCAGGCTTCGGCATAGTGGATTGTCCATGTCCTTGGCGATTTGCGTTTGAAAGACGCAGCTGTCGAACCGTTTACATTAATGGGGCTCAGCTTAATTGATTCATGGAAAACGTTACAATATATAAATCGTATTCTTAGGTAAGCGTGATTAGCGTGATTAGAATAAGTAACTATTACTACTTATTATAACTTATTAGAAAAAGTTATCATTACTTAATCTTAATTGTATATATTAATACATTAAAAAAAAAAGATGTCCATTAATATCTGAATGTCCTTTTGACTATGCAGGCTGCGAATTCGTAATGATTATTATATGAATACTTATATTTTTTTAAACAAAATGTTAATTTATGTAAGTTAATTTTAATTATTAAAAAATGATAATTAATACTAACAAAAATGTATTTCATATCATTTTTAAATCGTTCACGTTATTAAGCTCCACCTCCTGGCAAAATCATAGTCCCTCTCTCACCCAGTCTCTCTCCCTCTCTCTCCCTCTCTCTTTCTCTCTTCTTCCCAGCTTATAAAAACAACATTTATACCCTCGATTTTCCAAATCGGTCAGTTGTCTGGTGCTCTACCCTCAAAAAAAATGCTTATTATTTTTCCATAAAAAATCACCCAAAACAGAAAATCCGAAAAAAAACAAGACAAAAAAACATATTAATCAAATATGCAAATAAGCAGAAGGCCTTCATTGAATAACACTTTGGTAGGCCACAACAAATTGTTAGAAATGCGCAATTTATGACACCCCCTGGTCCCTGCTCGGGCGCCATTTGAGTAGTTCACGCATCATCTATCAAAAATTGGCAAACCATAAAAAAGGCTCATGCAAATCTATATAAGGACCCTCTTACGAGTAAAGAACTGAATGCAGCGCCTGCTGTTGCTTTTTTAGTGCCAATCAAAAGGCAACAACTCGAGTCGATTATGATTATGAGATCAATGCCAGGGGGAGGGGAGGGGCCAAGCAAAACAAATCGTAAAAAACGCAAATTGCAAGGCGAATCGAACAAATGTGCGCGAAATATCTGAATTGCATTAGATATAACACAATAAAAGGGAAATTTATGCATATGCAAATAATAATTGGCGAAAAATATGCAAATGAGCCGCGAGCTTCAAGCCGAGCGACAGAGAGAGGGAGGGGGAGGAGGGGGGAAATCTGAGTTAGAGTTGCGTGAAATTGTAAATGGAAAATAACTGAAATGGCATCAAGGAGCACTCATCATCACAAATGGCATGTTGGCCAGCCAGCACAGGTTGAATGTCCTTTGGCGTTGACGTGACTCTGTTCTGCACCGCCCACATTTGGAGTTGTAGGCCAAAATCAATTTGCATATGTGGGCGTGGCAATAACAACTACAACAA